TACCACGGACTGCCCGCAGGACAGACAGGTCTGTCTTGGACGAAGTATGGCCAGAGCGCCCTCTAGAGGCAAGGGCGGCAAGACCTCCTCCTTTGGACACGTGACCAGGAGAGACCAGTCCCTGGTGCTGGGTACAGAGGAGGGGCCGCCTAAAAAGAGGAAGGCCCCCAACGAGGTGGAATGACACCCTGGCTGCAACAAGGGACTCCGAGCACAGGACCAGTTGTGGGAACGAACGGCGGCGCAGGACCCGGCTGTGTTTTGTTCAACAGCGGCAACTTGAGGGTGTGTTCATGGAAGGCAATAGTTCGGGTCGGATCGGAGTAGATCAGATGGAAAACCTATTCCGTAGGTGTAGGGGCCCAGGATACACCCACGTACTTGGTGGGGGTGGGCACAGTTCATCACCCTGTTGTTCCTGTGCACCTTGGCCTCACTTGCCCCTTAGCAGATGCAGCACTGGGTCCTCCTCCTGACAGGGGGCCTCCTGAGCAGGAGAGAATGTCAATTGTGCATCAAAAGTCTGAGGAGAGGTGAGGAGAAGAGCCGAGAAGGCCAGTGGTCAGAAGAGCGTAAGGACTGAGCTGGTTCGAAGGGCACTGTGGATTTGGGGTACCTGACGCAGGCAGATGGACTGACCACAGAAAGAGCGTGGACGGTGGCAGAGCGCACTGAGCAAACCCACCTGTAGCACCTGGCAGGAGCCTGCCCCAAGCTGCTCTGAGGGAAAGTGCACGTTCACCGGCAGCGGCTGGCCTCGCTAACTCCGGTCCCTCAGCTGGCTCTTCTCCCAGCACTCCCTGCTCCTTCCTGTCTCTCGCCTCCAAGTAGCTGGCTGCGTCTCAGCACTGAGTGTATAAGAATTTCCACCAGCACCTCTCAGCATCAGGGCCATTTTTTGACCCTGAGTTTCCCCAAGTTCAAACTTTATATGCCTTCCAGCCAAATCCCAGGCTCCTCAGAGCTAAAACAGGAATCGTTTTTTTGTTCTGTGGACTGGTATCAGGAATAAGCAGAAGGTGGATACCATCCTGCAAAGAGCCCTGGTGGCATAGTGGTTATGAGTTGGGCTCCTGACCACAAGGTCATCAGTTCGAAACCACCCGCCACTCCACAGGAGAAAGATGAGGCTTTCTGCTCCCCTAAAGATTCGCCGTCTCCGGTATTCAAAGCGACAGTTCTACCCTGTCTCGTGAGGTTCCTACATGGATCGTTACAGGGCGGCAGCAACGAGATGGAAATGGGTTTGTTTTTTCTGGATTTTCTCCGTGGTGCTTGGCAGGCATGAGGTCTATCCCTGAACCTCACGTCTCCCCGATTCCCAGCCTTACCACCCAGCAGTACCCTACTGCCTCAAGGGTTGGTGATTCCTGTTCTGTACGTAGCCCTTCCTTCCAAATCACCAGGGGACGTACCAAAATTCACCTTCCTGGGCCCCACCCACAGTTGGCTTCAGGAGGTCTGGCATGGAGCCC